AATCGCAGCGCCTTAGAGGACTGGGCCACCCGTGCCCCCACTAGATAAGACAAATTGGCCTTCATAGCTAAATCTCTGCTACATACACAGCTACATAATTATCACTGGATCACTGCTAACTTATCTAATCCAGAGTGTTTGTTATTTGGTCACATGCACTTATAATCATATCCGATAAGGTGCTCGAACATTGAACTTTATCATACCTCTATGTCAGAATGATGAGATCTGACTGGTTCACGTGATCTTGATATAATACTGTGAATCCCACCTTGGAGGGGAATAAATTCATCAACTGGTGAATAAATCTTCAAAATATAGTTGTTCTCATTCCTTACTTTAAATTTTAAGAAAATAGAAATTTTATCTTCCAGCAAGGACTAAACAATTACACAATGACCTAGAGCTGGCAACAATAGAACCACGTATATTTCGTCATGATCTGTAATGACTTGACAAGAACACTGGCACCTTTCATCCCCGGCAAGGTTAAATCTGCTGCAAATACTTGAGCACCCTGAGATTGTTATTGAAATAATTTCAAAACAAAACAATTATATTTGCAGAAGCAGTTTTGATTATGCCATGCAATCATGATGCTTGTCTCATGATGCAATCTCAAATTAAGACAAGTGGGTATCAAGCCTTTAAAATCAGAGAAACTTCAGGCATATACCGCCATTACAATTGAAATCGAGTCTGCGTAATCCATTACAGCAGAGGCGTGGTTGGGGGGCAGGCGCTCGCGATATTACATGAGCGCGGGCTGTTGAACACGGCTAACCGTGCGAGCGCATGTGTGTACTCGCGATCGAGCCCGAGAGGTAGTTTGCCTCGTAATCCAAGATGGCGTCGCATGTTGAACAAATGTTTGCCTTTGACGAGAATGGAACCGATGTCAAAAGAATAATCTTTTAGACTAGATCTACCATCAAAAAGTTATTTTCGCATTTTTAATATATTGACCCGTGATGATCAGGGAAGAAAATAGGTCTTCCCCAACCCATATGTTTGCCGTAAGGATCGAGTGATAAGACTCACTGACTTTGGTGATGCATGTCATCGTATCCCCATTGCACAGACTGATGCTCATGTCGATTGATGGATTGTCTGGTCCAGCAAACGGACATGTAACTAATAATAAAGATAAACACTTTGTTATCATGAACATCAAAGTATGAACCCATCAAACTTGTGATTAAATTAAATGTGTGAACCTATGACACTTGTGGACAGGGCTGTTTTGATCCCCGGCGACGCCATTTTGGATGCTGTGCCGCGAGAGCGAGTACGCGCCTCTCGTTCAGAAAGGCGTTATATTGCCTCACTGTACTCTCGCTCGGTCGCTCGTCCTCCTGAACACGCCTCAGGTGAGACCTGCTTGTGGGAGAGTTCATGTGGCACATTAACAAATACACATGGAGCATGAACTCCATCGTGCAGTCCCCCGTTTAGTGGAAGTGGAATCTTCTGTTCCACGAGGAACGCTTGTGTCCTAATGATATCCACGTCACTTTAGCTTAATTTCGTTCAGCAGTAGTTGGATAAATCCTACTGTTCAAATTACATAATATTCACTGTTAAAACTGATAATATTTGAGTATTAACCGACACTCTTGCATGATATGATATATATCTATGGCTAGATCGTACGAGACATGATATGCTTAATAAAACAACAACATTAGACATCTTTTGGCAATGAGAATAACAAACATTCAGTAAACTTAAACAATGTTAGAAACCATGGGAGTCCTTGGCTCTTTAAAGTTTGCTCCTGAAGTATTTGAATCAAGGGACACCTAAAATTGTAATTGTCTACACAGAGGATGTGACAAGGATCTTTCACGCTTACGCTCCAACAGTTTGCACAAGGACATGTTACAATACACTCACATAAGGCCATTGTATAAATACATGCACTGAAAGATGACTGGAGTCAGAGATGGACAAAGGAGTTGAATCCATCCACAGATTGGACAAGTGATTACTATTACACACCAGCACGTTAAAACTCGGGGAGAAAACAAGTCGTCCCATCGAGATTTTTCTTTTTCTTTGGACCAGCCGACTTGTTGGTGTTAATTCTCACCCCATGAGATAGTGCTGTTGACAAGACATGCAGTATTGCAATGCACAGGCATACCGATAGCCACATGTTACATTCATTTCGGTGTGATAATATAGGCAACATGTCATGCATGACAACGGATATGTTAACTTCGGTGCGATAATATAGACACAATGTCCTGCTAGGATCTATACCGAAACGTTGCCATTACAGTAAAATAAAGAAGTTGTAATCCATAAATTGTGTCTCCAATGTCACTGAGGCAACATGTCATTTGCCAGATGTATTATTTTTGTGTAGAGATGATAGTGTGACATTTTTTTCTGAGAATGGCGACAGTGGTAACTGCTTTCATGGGGTCTTCATGGTCCCTGTGGACACATCAATCGGCCACAAAATGTAACAGATCCTTGTACACAACCATATTAAATTGGATGTGGAATCATCTACAAATAATGCTCTCTGCAACTGACACTTTTCCGTTCCAATAAATGGTAATTTGGTATGACTGAACATGACTTTATGAAGTAATGGTTCGTTTTTGGATAACGAACAATGAATTTTAAATACTTGTTTGTGTTTTGTGCAAATGTTTATACATTTGTGAACATAAATCCAGCTATGCAGAAGTTTAACAATGAGTAACCTTAGTGAAATGCTACAGCTCTAGATATAATGTCAACAAGGTTATGTGTAAAGATAGACATTGGAGAAAATATAACACCACACTGAAGAATGAGTGATTTGTGATTTACCCGCATTGGTCCAGCCATATAACATCAAGGACATCACAGATCTCACACTGCACCCATGTGCAGAGTTGAACCTGGTCTCCGCATGACGAGCCAGCACTCAAACCACTACCTACTCCTACTCTCATTACTCAAACTGGTATAAGGTCTCACAAGGTTACCTCGCCTACTCCTCAAGCTGAAGATGTCTCTAATTACTCAAACTGGTATAAGGTCTCACAAGGTTACCTCGCCTACTCCTCAAGCTGAAGATGTTTCTCATAACTCAAATCGGTATAAGACCTCTGCTCAGAAAAACATTTCTTTGTCTTATCAGCTTCCCCATCATGTGTTCTCTGTCCATCATGTTATCCTTCTGTTGTCATTCCTTAACCTACTCATGTTAATCCCCCTCATATATGCAATTGTTACTGTTAATAATCTACTGTTAATCCTCCACCATCATCATCATCATCATCATCATCATCATCATCATCATCATCCTTCTCTTTCTTGACAATGGTATAAGTATCTATACCCAAACATTACAGTAAATTAAAGAACTTGTTATCCATAAATTGTTTCTACTTTGTCATCGGTCAATTTCTAAGTAATGCCCATCAATCAATTTCAGTACCGGGTAAACCAAACAAACATAAATATCTGTAAATAACTCTTGTATATCAATTCACTGGGTTGTTTTAAATGATTTAAAGAATATCTCAAACGATTCTCAATAAATATTTGTACATAGAGTTATCTGAAATGCCGTTTTGTCTGGGTACTCTCACAGGTATTATTAGGCTGCACACACTAAAAATCATGTACATCTTCCACACAGAATAAGATAATATTGGTGCATATACTACAGTGATCGCTCGCTATTGCGCTCTTCGATAAACCGCTACTTCGGTTATTACGCGCGGTAACGCATGGCTCCCAAAATTTATGTACACTTTTAATACTGAGAGTTTTACACAGACATGATTGTATTGTTGTTCATTGTTTATTTGCACATAACGCTTCTCATTGCATAATCAACGGTTTATCGCTGAATGGAGTTCTAATAATCTGTTTGAAAATATCCGCGGCAAGTCCCGGAAATACGATTGTTCAACTAGTTAACTTTTCACACTATACATCCTTTGATCTTAGAAGCGCATGCATGCAATAAAAGAGAACCACAAGTGAAGTTTACATTCTTAATTAGTGGGCAATCCAATTTAAGGCTAAACTGTCACACACATGTAGTTGCTGTCACAACACGGCGGTCATTCATTTCGTAATCGCGCTTTCGTAACATCGCCTGTTTTTTCCCCGTAGTTATAACAAGCGATTTCATTGGATTAAAATTTGTTTCTAATGACGCTTTCTTGCCGAAATCTGCTACAAGTTTCGTGATTGGTCAATTTTGAGCACGTGACATCAGGCAGCCAATCAAGCTTTGATACAAAGCTCGTGTTTGATAAATTTCAGAAGTTAGCGAAAGATTTTTTGTTAAATCGTGTTATTCTGAACGTTTTAAGCAGGAAATCACGATATATATTAAAAATATGGAACTTCGCGAATGTATCGTGCTAGGTTACAAGCTGTGACAAAGATTTTTCATGCATATATTTTTGCATTAAACGTTGTGTCCGAGCCGAGAATTCAAGGCGACGAAAGCCGAGATGTCATTTGACTTACATTACACGCGATCGCACGAAACGATGGAAATAATAATTTAGATGTAAGTTTGATTACTTTTAGATATATTTTTGTTGATTTTATTTATCACTTTGTATAATATATTTAAAGATTTGCTTAAAATAGTCTTTATTTTGCTCTTTGACATGTTCGATGCGGACCCGTTGTCGAAATGTGTGTCCGAGAATTTTATTTTCAATAACATCGCGGGAAATAGTGAATAATTTTTTAAATTATTGATAAAAAATGATAAATTAGAATGGAATACGTATTTCAGACATTGTGAAATATGACAGATTTAATAAATGAATGATATTACAGGTAGATCTAGGTCCATAAAAATATATACTATTTTGACGTGACGTGAGATAAACACATAGGCCTATTGATGATTTGAGATTTGCCGAGCGCGCTCCCCCGCCTCGGCCTCGGTTAAACGGCTCATCGTCTATAACGCCCACCAATTATTTGGACCCCATTGGTAGCGCAATAGCGAGCGATCACTGTATGCCATCCAAGTCACAAACACACGGGCACCCCTATCACAAACAAATAGACCAGCTCTGCTGTCTTTCTCAGACCGTTCCATTCCAGCTAGAGGGATGGCCATATCATATGTTTCTATGGCAACTAATTGTTCCAATCACTCCAGTTCAATAATAACATCTTCTTCATTGACTGTGTCGCCTGCCTTGAAGTGGACCTTCTTCACCTGAGCAAGGAAAGGAGAATTATACAATCTGACAGAGAGAAGAACACAAAGTGCCAAGGTCAAATCAAGGTCAAATACCTTCAAGCCCAAATAGCTGTTACATTGGTAAGTCCCCCCAAAAGAAAATCCAAAAGAAATGATACCACCCCCTATGCGAGGGTCCTGATGGGGGGTTTGGGAGAAAGAGCATGCTTTAGTCAGCAGACAGTCGTCTGTAGTCAGTATTTTTTCGTCTGAGTGAAAACATCAGTCCGTCTGGGGACAACTGGTTTTGCTTTCATGTCATTACTGCAATTTGTGTTTTTGTAAATAACAAAACTACCGGTAGTTATATGCAACTTTCACACAATTTTAGCCCACATACAATAAACAGTGAAGCTTTACTTTACTCTTAGCTGTTAATTATGGACATGGTACATTAATCTTTTCAAATACAAAATAGTTGTTCTCTAACAGTATACCTTATCAGGACCCTCATACAAAACCTTCGGCGTGAGGATCCAACACTATTACCCTACCTCACGGCTCCTTGAATAGGGTTGACTTGAGAAACAATGTACAGGGTTGTCTCACCTTTGCGACCTTGGCAGCAACAAGACTGTTCTGCATCTTCATGGCCTCCAGCACGCACACTTCCTGCCCCTCGGCCACCTGGGAAAAATACAAGGAGTGTAAAGAATCATGTTTTACCCAGTTACAAATTCCTTTATCACAGTTTCAAATGATTTGGAAAGGATCAAACACATAAGTATTTAAACTGATTATATAATGGTCAAGGTATGAAAAGGGGCCTTTAAATTTTAGAAATGTGCCATATAAGAATAATTGTTGTGAAAGTTGAACTAGGGTTTCTTTATGAAACCTTGTACTGCAAGGACTTATAGCATCACTAAATGTGACGATAAGGCTAATATGTGACCAAAAGGCTCATTTGAGAACTTTTCAGTAACCATTTTTTTAATATTGAACATGAACAAGTCTTTGACCCATGTTAATTTTATTAGGAGAAAAAGACAGTACAAATCATCTTCAGTCACAGACCTGTGGACAGTGAGGTTTTCTCTTGAAGTTGGACAAACTGCCCTTCTCATACATGTAATGCTGGATGTGACTCAATTATCATGAAATTAGAACCTAAATATTTTTTACATTTGTATACTTATACTGAATTTTGACAGAAAGACGAAGCTGTGTGAGGTACAGCTGAAGAAGAAGTTGTTCATAACTAGTTGTGTGGACGGCCATAGGAGTGACATAAGTTGCAATAATAGCTGAATGAAGCATCGATCAAAAGGATGCCAGTAAAAAAGCTGGACAGTTTATTTTACAGTATCTGTCTGGGTGACCAGCGGTAATGTGATGTTCTGTGACATCATAACTTCCGTGGTCACATAGGCGCTTTGAGATGGGATTAGCCACACAACTAGTTGGAACAACTTCTTCTTCAGCTGGACCCCACACAGCTCCATCAAATGCATTAAGAGTAATGCAGTATAAGTTAAAAAATATACAACTTACATGGAAACTGTAAAATTAGCTAAGGGGAATAACTCACTGATAACTATCTAGTAACCATGGAAACAACATGAACTCCAAGGAAAAGTAGATAATAGATTCATACACCCTGTAAGAATCTCAACTCAAATGTTCTCAAAATTTATCATGTGAGTGAGTGAGTGAGTAAGTGAATGAGTGAGTGAATGAGTGAGTGAGAGAGATTTTACACCGCTTTTAGCAATTGTCAAGCCAATATCAAGTGAGTGAGTGGGGTTTTACGCCGCTTTTAGTAATATTCCAGCAATATCACGGCGGGGGACACCAGAAATGGGCTTCACACATTGTACCCATGTCGGGAATCGAACCCGGGTCTTCGGCGTGACAAGCGCACACTTTAACCACTAGGCTACCCGACCACCCCATTCCCAGTGGAAGAACTCTAGGGATTTATCTTGACCACCTCAGAGGCTGATATTTGGCAAAATGTTAGCAGCAAATGTCAGTGAAAAGTCTAAAATTTGAAATAAAAATTTCTCAATTTCTTAATACTCAAAGTTAATACAGTTGTAACTAGTGTCATGGCTCTGTAGAGGTGACTTGTATTTCACTGATAACAGGACCGCTACAGATAGAGAGGCTGTCATGCTTAGTTTAACATTATTGCATTAACTGCAATATTAGAATACCTTATTTTCCTTATTTTAAAATACCTACAAAAATGTATGCCATATTTCATCGAAAAGCGAATTTGAATTAGGATTCCAGATCGGAAACAAAAAACGGTGTTTTCCGTGCTGACATACTAGGGATCATAGTCAGGTCATATCCAGATTTGAATCCACGACCATTGTTTCAACTCTGCACAGCAAATCTGCACAGGACCACCCCTGGCTTCTCCAAGCATGATATCTAAGCACCCAAGTAAGGATATATTTGTGAGAGCAACTTCTAACCATGTCTCCATCTTTAACGGACACAGACTTGAGGACACCGGGCATCGGCGCCAGGATGACGGAGCTGATGTCGACCTCCTTCTTCTCAGGCATGAACTGGGTCAGGTCAGACGCCAGGTCGTCGAGGACAGAGACTAGGAACTGTGGAAGTAAGGTTAAAATGGAACTACGTTCAATCTCAGCAAAATCCAATCTTTTACTTCAATACAATACTTCTCTGCATGAAGATCTGACAACCCTTCAGAAAGTCACGTCAGGTGATTCAGTTTGGGGTTCAGATGTCATTGCACACAGAAATGAAGGTGCATAAGAAATCCACAACAATATGAAGGTATAGCCTTTATTAATTACATTCAGAACTGCACATGTAAGTTAGTTTTCAACAGCTCATCATGCAAAGTTATAAAGAAATTATATCAACATATGACATGGTTTATGTCAGAGAAATAACTCAAATATGTTGATTCCGGGAAAAGAATAAAAATATTCCATGATTTCTCCATTCATAGGGACATTTTGTTGATGTCACACAGCGCTATGATGTCAAGTATCAAGGTCACCAAGCAATGATGTGACAGTTGAACTTTGCCGCCACATCCTATCACAGTTGAGGTATTATTTACATTATTTACACCTTCTTTATCCATTGTTTGGCTCATATACACATATATACAACTCAGCATATTAACCATTTGGCTGTTATTCACCATCACTTCAACTCTGTGATAGTTGTTTTGTCAAACTCCCTGATATACCACAGCTGGGATTCACAAAAAAACACAACACAATACCAGCAGCCATCTTTAAACTTTCCCCAGGTAGTTGGCCTACTCACCACAGTCCCGTAGAACCTCAGCTTGTAGTTCCCCGCTCCGTCCCGGTTGGTCAACTGTGGAGGCATAACATTCCTAATTACTAAATACATAAGCGGAGAATTTTCAAAAGAATATAAACAAATATTACCCACTGGGACATAGATATCAATAAACTGTGCTGTCATGTCATGGCATAGTCCCAAATGATGGAGTGAGCGAGTGAGTTTGGTTTTACGCCGCTTTTAGCAATATTCCAGCATATCAGGGCGGGGGACACCAGAAATGGGCTACCCATGTACCCATGGTCTTCGGCGAACGCTTTAACCACTAGGCCCCCCCCCCCCCAAAATAATGGAAGACATCATTGTCCATTGTTGATAACACCACAGACAACAGACTGAACCAACTGTTTCCACACACCATCAGGAAATCCCGACATGAGGTCATATATAGAACAACCTACTCATACCTCAGAATTAAGGAATATCAACTTGGCAACAGCATCTGGTATTTATTACAATATTTTCTTGTGTATAATACGCAATCCCATTGAGGGGCAGATATTTCAGGAAAAAATTATACGCACATTAAAGTACTAGTTTCGCTCCAGTCGTGGTGAAGTCTTTTGACTACAGAAAGCAAAGCAGCCCCATTCCCACCTTTTCCTGAATGCGCCAAACTTTCCCATCAAAAGCATATTATTGACCATTTCAAAACTGACCTCACACATGACCAACAGAGTTCAAATTTGAGATAGAAAGTCATAAACACCTCAGGTTTATTAACATCACTTCTGGTTTATCAAACACACACCCAATACATTACAACTTTGAAACAGAAAGGCCAACAACCCAAGCTACCTTAATGACCTTGAGACTGACCTTGACTCCCGATATGATATATCAACGTGTCAAAATGATTTTACAAGTCTATGAAGGAAAAGAAATAACATCCCTGAGATGTCTAAGAAACCCATAGTTCTTAAAACAAAGTGTACTGCCAGTGGCGTTCAAAATCCAAGCCTCTTACACTTGATTAACTATTGAGATCATGTGTCTCCTGGGCCCACTTGCACAAAGCGATCTTAGCGCTAAGATGATTGTAACGCCCATACTTTAACATAGGCTTACATTAGTCTTAGAGTTAAGATCGCTTTGTGCAAGTGGGTCCTGATTAGGCATTCGTCGTATATTTTTAAATGCAAGACATGTGTAAAATCAAAAATTATTTCTGAGGGATTCTTAGATGAAGAACTTGATATCATACATGCATTCTGATTGGTTTGTCGTATTTTCGCACATAACATTCATTGATAGGGGGACAAGTCTTCTTGCAGGTTACGGAAAGGGGCGAGTCGTGACGAATGCTGATTAGGGAGCCAAATCCAGTACAGTAAACTACGGTTGTAACGAACTCAAAGGGACCATATTCAACAAATGGACGGGACTAAAACTAAGTTTGTTTTATCAGTCAGTTTGTTGTTGCATAATAACCTGAATGATCCTCTCCTCCCCGTTGATGGTGGTCTCAATGAGGGGGGAGGAGAAGGAGATGTCGCCAGAGACAGTCAACGTCTGGTCCCCGGTCTCCACGGTGAAGCTGCCATCTTGTATCTGGCGGATGCTGGTCGGGTGCGATGTACCACCTAGCTGAACATTGACATTCCATTTGCTACCTTTATGACGTACATTTGGAATCCTGAAAAAACACAACAGGGAGAATACAAATTGTTTATTGTACATGAGTTGGTTTTACTGGGCATAATGTATTTAGTCCTTTATGCCAAACAAGAATGGATGCAAATAATAAGCACTGTCAGTCCCATGGGTCAACAAAAAAGTTTGAAGCACTAAAACTAATTATACTGTAGCATGAAGGTTCAATATATAGAAAATACTACACTCATTCTCGTTAGATACCATTTTTACGAAATGAGTGGACTTTCTATGGTATCTGAAAGTTCACGAGTTTCGTAAAAATGGTATCTAACGAGAATGAGTGTGGTATTTTATTTATTACCCACGTTAAATATATATTTAAGTGTAAATACATAACAACTTTCGTTCGTTGACAGACCAAACTGAAACCGGTTGCAAAATCTGGTTGCGCATGAATATTGATATAAGACCAAATAATGGCATTGTTGACATGTTTATGCATACGCATTAACAACATGCGCCTGCTGTTCTGTTTGCAAACAAACCAGCACCGATGCTCAAGATCCTTTTGGAAGAAAGTCTTCAACTTATTGTAATTCAAGCGCCATGTTGTTTGTACGCAGGACACCGATAAGAAAATTTGAAATGTCACATTATCGCCGCTCTTTGAATATCGGACCAACAGTCACACGCATCACACTGCCGGGGTCCCGTCTGTGCAATCAAAATAGTTCGGTTTCCTTGATCTATCAGCTGAATTTATATCCTGTCCGTACCATTTTGGAAGAGGGAAATCAGACTGTTCGCCAAAGACATTCATGTTAACTGTACCACCCTATATACTGAAGACGTGAAAATCAACAAACTCAAATCTGCTTGCATGTCAGTGACAGCTTCGAACGATCGAAGGGCAAGGTCGCCACCAGAATAAGAAAAGACAACCGCGATCCACTCACAGCGTTTTACGCTAGAGATAGGGAATGTTACTGTTCACATTTGGGATGTTTGGGGCCACAAAATCAGAAGTCAAGCACACTTCCACGGAGTTTACGAATGATTTGTATCGGAACTGTGAACTTTAAGTGATCTGGTCGTGCTGTCGTGTTCGTTCATTCATGAACAACACCTCCCGAAACAGCGCCACAAAATAAGCTTCAAGGGGGACACCGATGGCACAACCGGATCATCCCAAGTAAGTCTAGATATCTGTCCAGATAGTTTAAACAGACTTCATTTCACCACACCTATCCTTTTACGTTTAATCAAATTGAAAGTTGGGTGCGTCACGCTCAAGGGACGCGCTCGATCGGCAGTCGTACATTGTTAATCGATTTATAGATCTAGCTCGATTATATGTCTGTAGGACCTCTATGCATAACTTATATAGAATGCAAACCGAATTTGATGCGTGTGACTATCTTGTTTGGTTTAATAAAGTGTTTGTAAATATCTCTCGTTCTCATGAATTTCTTCAGTTCTGCCTTGTAATCGCAAAATGAATGACGTCTCGCGATTTTTTATGAATGAAAAAAGTAGTCCCGGTGTGACAGAGGTCACGGTTATCCAATCAAAACGAATAAAACAAGGTCAACCTTGTACGACACACGTGTGACGTACGGATTTAGTATCTTGTCACCTGTCTCTTTACCACGTGGGTAATAAAAAGGAATATGTCACTCTGTAATTAGGTATCTGAGGCAGCAATAATCCAGTGACTGATTTAAGGCTAAAGAAAATAATAGTCTTGGTTCTCAGGCACTGCCTGCATCATCATAAAGTTCGCTACACATTTTGTTTTTATTTCCATTTTTAAAAAACTAAAAAAATCCATAAATATTCAAAGCCCAATGGTAGTCAAATACTGTATTCCAGTATCATACTCATCAAGGAATTCCTTTCCCAGGTTGATTGTACACAACTGGTTATTTGCTTACACAACTGTTTATTTGCTAACATACTAATCTGAATAACAATGCCCACCCCCACAAAAAAACAAAAAAAACAAAAAACAACAACGAAAAACAAAAACAACCCCCAAAACACACCACCCACCTGCACTAAATTTTCAAAAGCCATTGCCTGAGTACCAATTCTTTTATTTTTTTAAGCCTTAGCAACGAACCATGCTATTGGGATACATTATCACACCATCAACCAAGTCACCGAGCCTGACCACCGGATGCATTTGGTCGTATAGGTTGCTTGGGATCAATTCTTCCCTCAATCACTTAGGTTTTATTTTATCACAGAAATCAATCACTATACAAAAAATTAGGTCAGGGTTTCAAAGCATGTACAATGTCATAACATCATAGAAGTTCTTTGAAGTAGGCCACATGTTTCCAGCCTGACGATGTCAAGTAGGTCACAGCGGTCAATCTGGGGCGTCCGTTTATATGCCTGGGATCCCAAATATTATCCTACACACAAAGAGACAGTCCCTAGATCTAGACAGACCAAATCACTGATGAACTGTACTTGAGCTAACTAAGAACAATGACATGTTTCCTTTGTGATACTGACATGGCACTCACCTTGTCTGGTTCTTAAAGTTGCGGGTACGAATTTTATCTTGAGCATAAACAACTGCTGCCAAGGCTACAAGCTCGTTCCTTTCTCCAGAACTCAGCTGCTTTCCTGCAAAATAGAGTGAAAACTTAATACTCATCACTAAATACATACAACTTTTTCCAGTTCAAACTGTTAGAAAAGGATATCAGTATGGACATAATTTGGCTGAAGATTTACATTTCAAGAAAAATTATTGGTCTAATGCATACCAAACTGTTCTAGATTGGTTTTGCCAGATACCACTGTACAGCAAGAGTTACATCCCTTGGAAGTTGACAGCAAGAGTTACATCCCTTAGTAGCTGACAGCAAGAGTTACATCCCTTGGTAGCTGACAGCAAGAGTTACATTCCTTAGTAACTGAGTGAGTGAGTGAGTTTGGTTTAACGCCGCTTTTAACAGTTTTCCAGTTATATCACGGCGTGTCAGTTTAATGTGGGAGGAAAGCCCGAAGTGATGCAGGTCTCAGACGTTTACCACTTCGGTGAAACCCACGAGCATGGGTATGGTGCTGACAAACCTAGAAACATAATCGGGGCGAACTGGGATTTGAACCCACAATCATAGGTGTCTGGCGTGCCCAAGGGACGCCTTAGACGACTGTGCCACCCGTGCCCCCTTCCTTAGTAACTGAGTGCAAGAGTTACATCCCTTGGTAGCTGACAACAAGAGTTAAATCCCTTGATAACTGCTCTGACAAAGACATAAACCTGGAGTGTACTGGTTGGCCAGATTTCACTGTACACGACACCCACCTTGGAATCCATCCGGGTACACGTGGGGGAGGTAGTTGGTGCTGATGTCACCCTTGATGAACCTGCTCTCCGTCAAGATGTCGCGCAGCAGGGGGATGTTGTGGGTCACACCTGCACAGATACAACCGTTCGTCACCACCAGATCAAAATACCATTTCAAGAGTATACAAATAATATTACAAACTGACCATTCAGTATACCTTGTGGGTCTGGGATTCTCATATAGTATATTACTAAAATTATGGGGAAATATAACCTGTCCACAGGTTTTAAAAAATATATACCTAGTTGAGAGTACATACTAGATGTTTCGAAAATAAAGTTGTTTGGTTCCTGCATTAATAGAAACAAGTGTAGGTCTCCAGGAAATCAAATAGCCAGGCCCCAACTTCATGAGTGAGTGAGTGAGTATGGTTTTACGCCGCTTTTAGCAATATTCCAGCAATATCATGGCGGGGGACACCAGAAATGGGCTTCACACATTGTACCCACATCGGGAATCCAACCCGGGTCTTTGGCGTGACGAGCGAACATTTTAACCACTAGGCTGCCCGACCGCCCCCCAAGTTCATGACAAGCTTGGCGTAAGTAATTCAAACTGACATTGAAATACACAAGATTTGAATTATATTACAGAAGGACCATACAATTACATTTGCATATATGCTAGTCATTACAGTGAAGCCTTGTTAACTTGAATTCAGTAGATACGATCAGCAGATGATATAAATATACTACTCAAAAGAAGTTCAAGAACACCTGATGTTTTCATGGCATGACAGATTGATTATAGTCATATGAAGAACAACTGGATGTTTGCTGTTTCATTTTGTATGTTGTGCATGACCCTTTGACCTCCATGTATCAGTAGGGCTGCCAATATCGCCATGGCATGTATTTTGGACCCTGAACATCGGGAGTTAAACATGTATCAATGGTCATGTAATGACCATGCTGTGAAGGTGTCTGTTACTGTGAAGAAACTTATGTTATTTCTACTGCTTCTGTTTTAGCATTGTGAGACCTTTCTGATCAAAATTCAGGTGAGCTACATACTGTTGTGAGTAAATGTTTCTTTCTTGAAAAATATGTCCACAAGATCCAATTTATTTGAAAATAGCACTGATGTTACATACTACGCCTCATTATAGTGGTGAAACCTTGTTAACTTGAACTAAGTATATACCTTTTATCACATAGGAATCCAGGGCTTTTATCATTGTGCTGAGTGCTTCATTTCTGGTTGGTCCATATGTCACCAGCTGGTTAGAAAACAACATTATTAATCCTATTCACTGTTGATACAGAAATAACCCAATCACAATGCCATCAAAATAACACTATGTCTGTGTTACATACTATTATCATAATTATAGACATTAATTTTATTGTTCATTGTTCATTGTTTTTTTATATAGAACCAAATCTAATTTACATGTTCAATTTTTAATCAAAATTTCATAACAATATTTCCAACAATATTTGTCACATTCTGCATCCCACTTTTTTGGGAAAATGTAGATAATCTGGTCCTCATGCACTCATGTTCCCAACTACAGCTAAATAAACTCACTAACCCATAATTCCTCATGTGATGGTAGATATCCTCATATTGTCTTATGGCTAGAATGACACTATTAACCTATTGTCCTTACCTTGCAGATCATCGGGTCATAATAGATGCTGATGTCGCTGCCCTCCATCACACCACTGTCACAGCGAACCTGCAGAACAAAACAAAATATGAAATAAAAACATATGCATAGAAATGTAATCACGAAACGGGCATTATACATTTGAGCGAGTGAATGTTGTTTAATGCCATGTCAGCATAGTTGGTTGGTTGGTTTGTTGTTTAACGCCGCACTCAGCAATATCCCAGCTATATAACGGCGGTCTGTAAAATAATCGAGTCTGGACCAGACAATCCAGTGATTAATATCATGAGCATCAATCCACGCAATTGGGATTGATGATATGTATCAACCAAGTCAGTGAGCCTGACCACCCAATCCCGTTAGTCGCCTTTTACGACAAGCATAGTCGCCTTTTACGGCAAGTATGGGTTGCTGAAGACCTATTCTACCCCGGCATCTTCACGGGCCATGTCAGCATAGAACATCCGTATCGATGACATGTAGATGATTGAATCACTCCATCAGCCAAGTCACACAGCTGTTACAGCAGCCTCTGTGGCAAGGACTACTTACGTCAGGTATATGTTGAGGTTCAACGTATCTCGACAATCTACCAATAGACGGCATTCCAAAATTCTTAAATGGATCCTGAAAGAAAATTCAATTCAAATGAGACAAGTGCTACATAGATAGGGAAATCTGGCCGTGAAATACATTCGGATTATACACAAAATTTGCTTGGAAATGGAAAAGCAGTAAGATAAACATAATTTGTTCTGAGATTTCTGGGGTTATTGAGCATTGGGTGAGCCAAAATCTCATTTTGTTGTTGTTATTGTTGATTTATGCCACAGTTAGCAGTATTGCAGTTATATCAGTGGCCAGGAAAGAAATTGATAAAACCAGTTCTTAGAACTTTGACCAACCAATGGAATAACCAATCAGAAGACAGCTTTCTCTTGCTTTACAGCACTTATTTCAAATTGTCGACTACGCCTTGAAACATATTTTGACAAATTCTCGATATAAAATTTGAAACCTGAACAAAAGAACATTGTGGAATGGCTAATAGATAGTCCAGATTGTATGGATTCAGTTGTTACACTCGTAACTATCGTTTGGAATACCCCATTTTAAAGTTTTCGAGGTTGCATGATTAGAAATCACATTCCAACTGTCACTTTCATGATCTGGTAAGCGACGCTCTGATTGGTAGGATGAAAGGTTGTTCTGACGTGACCCCTAATGGGATGTCCTCAGATCTTTGTTTAGCGGTAGTGAGAACTAAGGTCTGATTTTAATCAGATTGGAAATTGATCTGGACCAGGCAGCCAGTTGTTGATATCATGAGCTACATCACATGTATGATGACACTGAACATGCTGAAGCAGCCAAATCGCTGAGTCTGACCTACCTCAGCATAGACTCTACATTCAAAGGCCCATCCATCTACTGGTATGTCAGCCTGGGCGTGATTCAGCTTATGACCTGACAACAAAGGTATTTATTACAACAGTGTCAGTTGTGGATGGTCTGTTACTAAAGAGTTGTCACCAATATCTGCAGTCTTCTTCTTGTTTCAATTCAATTAATATTTTGAGTGAGTGAGTGAGTGACTTGGGTCTTGAAAGGCTTGGAAAACTACTGGCATTCAGTCATCCTTGATGTGGGAGCTCAAAGTGCGCTGGTCTTAGACATTAACAACCATGGTGAAACCCACGAGCATGGACACGGCGCTGACGGACAAAGAGTGAGTGAGTGAGTGAGTGAGTGAGTATGGTTTTACGCCGCTTTTAGCAATATTCCAGCAATATCACGGCAGGGGACACCAGAAATGGGCTTCACACATTGTACCCATGTCGAGAATCGAACCCGGGTCTTTGGCGTGTAGTTAATATTTTGAGTGAGTGAGTGAGTGACTTGGGTCTTGAAAGGCTTGGAAAACTACTGGCATTCAGTCATCCTTGATGTGGGAGCTCAAAGTGCGCTGGTCTTAGACATTAACAACCATGGTGAAACCCACGAGCATGGACACGGCGCTGACGGACAAAGAGTGAGTGAGTGAGTGAGTGAGTATGGTTTTACGCCGCTTTTAGCAATATTCCAGCAATATCACGGCAGGGGACACCAGAAATGGGCTTCACACATTGTACCCATGTCGAGAATCGAACCCGGGTCTTTGGCGTGACGAGCGAACGCTTTAACCACTAGGCTTCCCAACCATCTCCGACGGACTTTAGTGAGCACGTCACTAAAATTCTTGTAACACCGATGTGCCATATGTCACCATTCTGTGGACACCATGTAGGTCACTGATCCCCAAATTATTCATGGATTCAGAAGAAATAGTGAGTCAGTATTCTTTTTCTGCTTTTAGCAACATTCAAGCAATTTCAGTGGGGAGGACACCATAAATGGACTTCACACATTGATGGGACTTGAACCCAGGCCTTCTATCAAGTGCTTAGACTGAAAGACCCAGTTTGAGCCCAACACAAGACGAGAGTTACCTACCCTTTGCAACCCGCATCATCTGATGTACAATGTCAATGCCTGTAATGCATTCTGTGATTGGGTGTTCAACTTGGAGTCGCGTGTTCATCTCAAGGAAATAGAAGTTCCGTGCAGAATCAACCAAGAATTCAACAGTTCCTGGAAAATACAAAACATTCATCAATATGTCAAAATATGTCTCAATGGTAAAATTTGCATTTGATGATTCACAAATAAAAACGTCAAGTATCAATCTCATTAAAATGAGATGTTTTACTCCCATATGATATCTATAAAAGGTCATGTAATATGAACCGGAAGCGAACGCTTACTGCCCACTCAAAACGGAGGATGCATGGGTTCTTGAGCCAATCAGATGTCAGCTTTCTTAATCAATTCGACTTCATTTATTTATCACCACAGTACACAAATATACCCTCTATGGTAACCCTTTTGGATCTAGATACAATGTCATTAAACTCTCATTTTAGTTCTCGTTCCTGCTAAACAAAGATCTAAGCACATACCATTACAGGTCACTTCAGAATGACATTTTATCCGACTACTCGCCTACCAGACAGGAAAGTGACAGTTGGAATGTGTTTTCTAAGCACGCAACCTCATAAAGATTAACACAGGGTATTCAGAATGAAAGTAACGGGCTGACGTGACACATAATGAGATCTCCATTTAGCGGAAGCGTGAACTAAGATCTTATTTTAATGAGTGAGTGAGTGAGTGAGTGAGTATGGTTTTACGCCGCTTTTAGCAATATTCCAGCAATATCACAGCAGAAATGGGCTTCACACATTGTACCCCTATCGGGAATCGAACCCGGGTCTTCGGCGTGACGAGCAAACGCTTTAACTACTAGGCTACCCAACCGCCCCTTATTTTAATGAGATTGAGAGGCTATTTGGCTAAACCTATGTCATACATAAGCTTATAACATGTCTCATCATGCACTAAGTTATTTGACAAAGTTCATGTCATGAGTGGCTCAAATAAAGAGTCATCAGAAGATGACAAATCTCCCTGGCCCCTACAAATTCTAAAGAACAATTCATCTGATTGTTACAGCAAGTCTTACAAGAGTCATCTGTCCAACTTGATGAGAGTACTCCTATCTAATCTATGTGTCCTCATACAAGAAACATTCCAATGGAATTGGGATTCGGAACTTTGTATTTGATGTAAATATGAATTATTATGATAATGTCATACAATATTATGATAACATTTAAAAAAACATAGGTGTAAGAAATAATTGAAATTCTGTCAAGAATTAAAAGCTCCAGTTTACAATTTGTTCATTGTGAGCACACTGAAGAAAACTGAAGATGTGCTCTTCAAAAACACACTCCTGTGAGTTGAGTCAAAGTCAATTTGTAGTGATGAAAATGAAAATATAAAAATTCTAAAAATCCCTAAATAGCAAAGGGCACCAGTTGACAACCTGATCTCTGTGTTTGCAATGTTTAATGAAAGAATACCAAGTAGTTTAGGAGATTTGGTCCGGAAACATAAACACATACATGTACATACACAGAGAGAAATAATATCGAAGGGAGATAATTCAGTGGAGATACACTGTGCATACCACTAAATTTTCTCAACACATGGAGACACAGTAATCAAGTGGAGACAACTCACCTGCTGATGTGTAGCCGACCTGTTTGGACAGAGCTACTGCCTGTTCTCCCATGGCTTTCCTCATGGATTGGTCAAGGAATGTGCTTCAATGCAAAGGGAGTCATAATCAGGAATATAACTTCGGACTTCAGTACTTGGAGGCTCCCTACATAAACCATACACCCTCAATGTGCTCACTGACATATTGCAAGAGAGATTGTTTTTTCAGGGAATTAGACTATACTGTCTGGCTTTTCTGTCAACAATTTTGAAAAGTAGATATGAATGAAAATATGACATCAAAACTGGGAATAAAGTAGAAAATATTAGACATGCCCATTTTCTGACTGACTGCCTAATGTAAAGTTGGCAATTCTATTATTGACAGTTCACCTACAGTAAATCAGGAAATTAATGCCAGTGAATCTTAAATTAAGTTAAGGATTTTTATCTGGACCAAACTAAACCAAACCAACTAAACTAAAGGGAATAAGATGTATTACACAGCGGTAGAAACTAGCATGTTTCATTGATCCACTAGTCCTCATAATGATAACAAACCCATAACAATTGGGCAGTTTGGCAAGGACTACAGGACTAGTGCCAATTTCTACCGCTGATTACAGTTAGAATACCTATTTTGTCTGAAATATTGGATCACTGACCCTTCCGCATCGCCCTCCCGTTCATAGGAAAAGCCTCCCACATCATCAGCCGCCTCCTCAAACAGCAAGCCAACATCGACACCCACTTCACCAGCTCCAACTCCCTCAACACCCTGCTAAGAGCCAACAGCAGGAACACAACTAAACCCCAAGAGCCTAAAGGTGTAGTTTACAAAACTGACTGCAACTGTGGACAATCTTACGTAGGTGAAACAGAATGAAAGAGGATAAAACCTCCACCATTAAATCCGACAGCAAATCAGCCATCTCAGACCATATCAGCAACTGTCCAAATCACATCATCAACTTGGGACAACGTCCAAATCCTTGCCAACAACCTCCATGATTTCACTAAAAGAAAACTAACAGAAGCAGTCCACATTCGCCGCCACAATCCATCAATCAACAGAGATCAAGGCTATTTCATCCCATCCGCCTATTATGAACTCATCAAGCAATAATCACTTATCCTGTTTATTGGCTTCATGTCCCTATTGGCCTCCACCTATGTGTTCTCTGTCCATCGTGTTGTGACAGCTTCATCCCTTTGTTGTCAACACCTACCTATGTTATCCCACTCATGTATGCAATTGTTGTTACTTTTATTCCTCTCCTGTTAATCCTCTCCTGTTAATCCTCTACTGTTAATCCTCCACCTACTACCGGTATATATATTCTGTACTATGTCCCTCATTCAGTCTTGCTTGACAACAGTATAAGGATCTATACCAAAACGTCGCTTTTCACAGTATTAAAGAAGTTGTTATCCATAAAATTGTGTCTTGTCACTGACCTTGGAGCCTCTTCAATAACTTTCTGGTTTCTTCTCTGGATTGAGCACTCTCTTTCATTTAACCACAGTGCGTTTCCATGACGATCACACAACACCTGTACAGTGAGGGACATGAGGATACATTGGTGAGCAGGTAGAGTGAGTGAGTGAGTGAGTGAGTGAGTGAGTGAGTGTGTGAGTGAGTGTGTGAGTGAGTGTGAGTGAGTGAGTGTGAGTGAGTGAGTGAGTGAGTGAGTGAGTGAGTGAGTGAGTGAGTGTGAGTGAGTGAGTGAGTGAGTGAGTGAGCGAGCGAGCTTGATGTGGGAGGAAAGGCTGTAGTTGTGCAGAACATAGACTGAGTGTGAGGTGAGGTGAGGTGAGGTGAGGTGAGGTGAGGTGAAATGTGAATTAATGTCGCATTTAAGACTATTGCACTAATATAGTGTGTGTGCATGTATGACAGCTTGTATTAGTCAGGTTATAGTGCGAAGATGGATACCTCAGTCAGTCAGCCGACCAGTCCTTGTTTTATCCCATAATGCGAGTACCAGGCAGGGAAACAGCAAGTATTATTTTTTTTACGCCTTTTGGTACGGCTTGGCTGGGGATTGATCCATCGACCTTTTGCCCTCTGGGCAGACGCTCTATGAACAATACCATGGATGCAGACCAGATTGTAGCAGTTGGTTACACATCACTTTCAACAGTATTTCAGTTACATCATGGTGTGACAGCTTAATACGAGAGGAAAGCCTGAAGTGATCCAGGTCCTAGAGGTTTAGCATTTTCACAGGTATGGAGCTGTGAACCTGGTATTTGAACCTACTATCATCGGATCCTGGACTTAGTAAGGGAGGCAACTCTGTTGAATAAGCATAAGCCATGTGGGTCAAACCATAGCAGGCTTTAACTGAGTGACGCCATCTAAAATAATTTGTTTTTCTAATTTAATACCTGCACTTCGATATGTCTTGGGTTATCAATGAACTTCTCGATCAACATCCTGTCGTCACCAAAGCTGGACTGAGCTTCCTGTGTCGACAATCGGAAAGCTTGCCTGGCAAAAGGAAATGGATATGGATATTAAACAGAGCAACGAACACACAACACCTATCTCGTGTCTTCATCATTCCAGGCCACCCTCATGTTCTCTCCCACCCCTGCCCCGCCCACCTATCTGGTGTCTCTATCATTCCAGGCCACCCTCATGTTCCCTCCTACCCCTGCCCCGCCCACCTATGTGGTGTCCTCATCATTCCAGGCCTCCCTCATGTTCTCTCCTACCCCTGCCCCGCCCACCTATATGGTGTCTCCATCATTCCAGGTCCCCCTCATGTTCCCTCCTACCCCTGCCCTGCCCACCTATCTGGTGTCTCCATCATTCCAGGTCCCCCTCATGTTCTCTCCTACCCCTGCCCTGCCCACCTATCTGGTGTCTCCATCATTCCAGGCCCCCCTCATGTTCTCTCCAACCCCTGCCCCACCCACCTATCTGGTGTCTCCATCATTCCAGGCCACCCTCATGTTCCCTCCTACCCCTGCCCTGCCCACCTATATGGTGTCTCCATCATTCCAGGCCCCCCTCATGTTCTCTCCTACCCCTGCCCCGCCCACCTATCTGGAGTCTCCATCATTCCAGGCCACCCTCATGTTCTCTCCAACCCCTGCCCCGCCCACCTATCTGGAGTCTCCATCATTCCAGGCCACCCTCATGTTCTCTCCAACCCCTGCCCTGCCCACCTATCTGGAGTCTCCATCATTCCAGGCCACCCTCATGATCTCTCCCACCCCTGCCCTATCCATCTCTCCCACCCCTGCCCCAAACACCTATCCCCACCTACCTGGTCTCTTCATCGTTCCAGGCCACTCTCATGCCCTTGCCCCCACCGCCGGCCGACGCCTTTATCATGACAGGGTAGCCTGAAAACATTACAGTAAATAGTAACAAACTTAACAAATTGTATAATTATAATTGACTTTTACAAAAAGGACATTTTAGCAAGAACAGCAAAACACTAGACAAGACAACTCGGTCAATTGAGACACTGGACATTCCTACATTTCCTCAAACTACTGAACACAATAACAACAGTGACATGGTACTGTAGCTCACCTGGGTATGCAGAAAACAGCAGTTTGAGTGAGTGAGTGAGTTGGGTTTAACGCCGCTTTTAACATTATTCCAGTTATATCACGGCGTGTCAGCTTAATGTGGGAGGAAAGCCTGAAGTGATGCAGGTCTCAGACGTTTACCACTTCGGTGAAACCCACGAGCACGGGTATGGTGCTGACAAACCTAGAAACATAATTGGGGCGAACCGGGATTCGAACCCACAATCATAGGTTTCTGGCGTGCCCAAGGGACGCAACTCTGCACAGCGAATCGCGACGCCTTAGACGACTTGGCCACCCGTGCCCCCAGCAGTTTGACAGCAACTTAATAAAAGTTATTGTCACCACTGATATTCAAATATCTTCTGCGTAAATACTGAGGATTGATGTTATCAGGAGAAAATATGAGTATTTCTGATTAAATGCAATGTTCTTATACTAACCTGACGCTACACAGTCCTATATGGGTAGCGTAAGGTAAAACATATACATGACAAAGTTCTGCTTCTTCAGCACAGACATGGCAGCAGTGGCACCATATTGAAAATCAGATTCAAACCCTTGAACAATTCAGGGTGTCCTCATTGGTGGGAGTGAGTGATCGAGTGAGTAAGGTTTTCACAATATTCACAGCGGTGGACACCAGAAATGGGCTTCACACATTGTACCCATGAGGGGAATCGAACCCAGAGCTTCGGCGTGACGAGCGGACTCGTTGGTGGGAACCAGCATGTGCAGTTTCTGCTTCACTGAAGCTGTGGATTCTGAGAAGATGTTTACGCCGAACACCAGACAAACAGGCCACAATACAAGCTCACTTGACTTTCAGTCAGGTGACATAAAACTAGAAGGATTTCCACACAAGAGAAACATTTCCATTTTTCATTATAAAATCCCAGACTCACCAATTTCATTGGCGAGAGTGACACAGTGATCTGCGTCCTTCACCACGCCATCGTGACCAGGAATCATGTTGACCCCGGCCTTCGCTGCGATCCGTTTACTTTCAATCTTATCACCCATTGCATGAATGGCCTCGCTGTTCGGCCCAACAAACTCAACACCGATCTCAGCCTGCAACATAAAAGGGCTCACTAACAAGTCGGTTTTTCAATGTACAGCAGAACACTGTCTAAACTCTCAGTCCCAGACAAGTTGGAAAATTGCAACTACAGTCAAGGCCCGTTTATCCGACATGGTTGGTTGCATTTGATTATGTCGGATAAACGAAATTAAGTTACATGAACGTTTATGATCGGAAATCCGACAACTAGACGAAAGATAATGATGCAAACACGTTGTAATAAAAAAATGAAAAATGAAATATTCATATTGTTATGTTATATTGTTAGCATAATATGTTTTCTAATCATGCAACTTCTAAGCTCAACACAAAACTGTTGACTGATTCAAAATGCTTTTGAAAGCATAGTCAGGAATGAAAGTCACCAGTTTGAAACTCAAACCTCAATGCTCAAGAAAGCTGCTTTCTTAGTCGCTAATATCGACTTCCTGTTAGTCATTTCATTGGTCAATCAAAGTTTGCTAAAAGTCGTTCTGACTTTACCTGATATCCTCAGCGGTAGCGAGAACTTGTATGTGATTATATGATATTGAGGTAATGTAAGCATATGATCTTTTTTAACCCAGTTTTGTTTATGAAAATTGTTTATTGTTTATTGTTAAGCATGCTTAGCTCAGCAGCCGTTGTAAGATGCAGCTACCAGCCGACTTGTCTCGCATCAAAACATGGGCTGTGTGCTTGCGGGCAGTTGACCATGGAGTACGCTGATCACTGTGTCAGATTAATGAGTGGTTTCGGAAATTCGTTGTAAATGAGGTGTGTCGGAGTCGGAGTGCGAGGCCGTCGGATTAACAGGTCTAAATGGCACAAACTTAATTGGTTCCCATCTTTTGTTTTGGATAAACGAGTGTCGGATTAATGAGACTTTACTGTACTTCATATCTTTTATGACATCACAGTTTATCTATGATTCTCAGCTGGATCATGTCAATTTGGGGATAGACTGACGTTAGATGCGAAAGGACTCGTGATACAAAACGTTTAGAGTAGCCCCAGAGAACCAACAGACATCTATAAGCAAGATAATGAAAATGATTCATGCTTACCAGTCTAGCAGCAAACACTGTATTTTCCGACAGAAAGCCATACCCAGGATGAACCTGAAAGGAAAATTAGGATCATTCTGATGTCTTGGAATAGTGAGTGAGTGGGTGGGTGAGTGAGTGAGTGAGTGGGCGGGCGGGCGGGCGAGCGAGCGAGTGAGCATTCCAGCTATATCACTGCATGTCAGCTTAATGTGGGAGGAAAGACCGAAGTGATGCAGGTCTCAGATGTTTACCACTTCGGTGAAACCCACGAGCACGGGTATGGTGCTGACAAACCTACAAACATAATTGGGGCCAACCGGGATTCGAACCCACAATCATAGGTTTCTGGCGTGCCCAAAGGACACAACTCTGCACAGTGAATCGCGGCACCTTAGCCGATTGGGCCACACGTGCCCCCTGCCTTGGAATAGGAACCTCGACATAGCTAATACAATAGACAACAGTAAGTTTCCACTGCACACTCTTTCAACTAGTGTGGTAAAATGAAAAGCGGTTTAATGTTGCGTTCTATTTGATTGCACATAAATAATGACATATATGTGTGTTTGTGCGGATGCTTGTACTAGTCCAGACTTATACTGGTTTTAAAGTGCTAGCCCACTGAGATACCATGCCGCAGATTAACATGAATACCCACTCAGACTCCAGACTCTTTGTGTTATCCCCTTAATTCCGCCTGGGGTAACAAGAAGTAACATCTTAAACATCTTTTGGTATGACACGGCCGGGGATCAATCCCCCGACCATCCGCTCTCTGGGCATATGCTTCATCCCCTAGTGAGTGAGTGAATGAGTTGGGTTTAATGCCATTTTTAACATTATTGGAGTTATATCACGGCGTGTCAGCTTAATGTGGGAGGAAAGTCCGAAGTGATGCAAGTCTCAGACGTTTACCACTTCGGTGAAACCCATGAGCACGGGTGTGGTGCTGACAAACTTAGAAACATAATTGGGGCGAACCGGGATTCGAACCCACAATCATAGGTTTCTGGCATGCCCAAGGGATGCAACTCTGCACAGCGAATCGCGGCGCCTTAGACGACTGGTCCACCCTAGCCCCCGCTTCATCCCCTAGACCACAGAGGCGGTCCAATCAGACTGAAGAATACACAAGACTTTGTGTTCTACAATATCCAACAAGATGTTATTTGACTGCAGCTGACTCACAGCCTGGGCACCAGTGTCCTTCACAGCCTGCAGGATGACGTCCATGTTGAGGTAACTCTTGCTGGTGGGTGCTGGACCGATGCACACTGCTTCATCCGCCATTCTCGTGTGGACCTGGAAACCAGATGTAGTCATTATTTTGTTTGTTATGTCACGATGATCAGCAATGTTCCAGATGCTGTAGTCACCATAATAAGCACCCTAGGCACTCAGAAGATTGACAAAGGCTGGGGGAGGGGGGTGCTTATTAAAACTATACCCAACTAGTTAAGAATTTGTGCACTTCTGCACTGCTCTTTTCGGTCATAAAATGTAATGTACACTAGGGCTGCAACGAATACACTATGAGACGAATACGATTTGTATCACGAATATAGGGTAACGAATACGAATTGCAATTCATGAATACAATAACAAGTCAGCAGTTGATGTATTATTTGTTGTTACCAGTGAAACAGTAACATAAATTACTTGACATGGTTTGTTAATTATTAATATTTTATACATTAATATACTGCACTTATCCAGGATTTAGTATCTGCACAAATGCAACAATGACCACAATACTGTCAAATTAAATATAATGAGAGTGTTGTCTTTTGAAGACATCTATGCATATAATATGTTCTTATGGATATTTTTTGACAAACTTAGAAACATAACTGGGGCGAACTGGGATTCGAACCCACAATCATAGGTTTCTGGCGTGCCCAAGGGACGCAACTCTGCAAAGCATATCGCGGCGCCTTAGATGACTGGGCCACCCGTGCCCCCATATATCCCATGAAAGAAGAAACCAAGGAATTAATTTCATTTCACAATACATTTTTTACAGGTCATCAGGCTGTGTTTGAAATAATTTTAGAACCCAACAAGAGAGTCAGGCAGGTGACCCATAAGCATTGCCTGCCCATCTTCAAAGTTACCTGCCCACATTCAGATATTATAAATATATTATAAATATTGAAAAATCGTGAAAAATATGAGACAAATCACATCTTGATTCAGTTGAAATAATGCAAAACAATTACTTAAGAAACCATGAGAAGATACAATATAACTGAATAGGTAGGTAGTCTTAAAATTATCTGCCAGACAGTTGGGCAGGGGAAGGAAAATTTCATGCAGCCCGACGGAAAAGTTACTAGCCACGGGCAGGCTGTTACATTGGACATCCCTAAGCATCATCTGAATCCCTGTCAACCTGTTCTAATTCATGTACTGTTTGAGGTGTCACGTTCTATGTGAGAGGAAATCAGAGGTGATTCTGGGTCAGATGTGCTACAAATATGTTCATACTCACGGCCAAGGAGTCGACATCACTGTGGACGGCAACTGTCTTGATACCGAGACGTCTACAGGTGTGGATAACTCGACATGCTATCTCACCTCGGTTTGCAATGAGGACTTTGTCAAATTTCTGCAATGAAAACAAAACATGAGCTTCACATATCACTTGTATGTGCCCAAGTGAGGTATGAGAGAATGATGTACCAGGTTACATCCAATCAGGGCACTCAAGTTTAATGTGGGGAAAAAACAGGACGTAGACATTCACTGGAACCTATGAGGATTGGGATGATGCGAACAGAGACCCGTGTAGATTCCAGGGGTAGAATAGGTCTTAAGCAACCTGGATTGATGCTCATGATATTAATCACTGGATTGTCTGGTCCAGACTCGATTATTTACAGACCGCCGTCATATAGCTGGAATACTGCTGAGTGCTGCGTTACACAACAAACCAACCAAATCATGCTAACAGAACTTATAGTCAGCAGATCCTGGTGGATGCAAGGGACACAACTCTCTGAATGATGGTGTCTTTAGGACTGTGCGGTTTTACTGGTATACTGCAATATATGCTTTTCAAACAATATGTATTGCAATAGTTTTTCTGTATTCCAGTATATTAGGTACATTTTTTAACAAGTTTTGTTATTCTTCATATCGCTTATCCTAATCTCTACACATAAATTCATTCACAAATGAATGAGTGTGTTGGGTTTAACGCCGCTTTTAACAGTATTCCAGTTATATCACGGCGTGTCAGCTTAATGTGGGAGGAAAGCCCAAAGTGATGCAGGTCTCAGACGTTTAGCACTTTGGTGAAACCCACGAGCACGGGTATGGTGCTGACAAACCTAGAAACATAATTTGGGCGAACCGGGATTTGAACCCACAATCATAGGTTTCTGGCATGTCCAAGGGACACAACTCTGCACAGCGAATCGCGGCGCCTTGAAAGACTGGGCCACCCGTGTCCCCCATTCACAAATGATGTTTCCCTCCACTAAAAACAGTGGAAACAGCTCCCAATATATGACAATACATATCTCAATATAGATGCAGACTACGATTTCATTCTGTTTTACCACCTGCACCACGTGCAACCAAGTGAATTAATCAGGTTGCACCACAAAAATATTGGCTGCACCATTTTATCATAATTGAAAAACTGTTTTCAGTTCTTCTAAATATTAAATATATCCAAAGTCCAAATAAACTTGAGAATGTGCTCCAGTATTATATTTGGGGGAAATTTGTATATGGCCTTTCACATCTTGATATCCAGTAAACAACCTTAAAAAGAAGTTTCAAATTGTCTGTTTGTAACCACATGACTGATTGTTCTAGTGGTAATTGTAAAGAATTAGTTCTGCAAGTTCATTGCATTCAGACCACCTGTGTATTTCACTAATTTCATAAACTTTTGTTTCCTGGATTCAAAAAGATTTGCAGCCAGTTCTAAAAGATTTCAGTTGTCCACTTTTATCAAATATAACTGCTGTGGTGGGAAATGTTACCTGCATGAGTGCATCCTGGCAATAAAGTTACCTGCACTAGTAAATGTTTTACCTGCACTAGTAATGTTTTACCTGCACTAGTAATGTTTTACCTGCGCTAGTGCAGCTTGGATATAGCGAAATCAATCCCTGATAGCGTTACCTGTCCAGGTTATTCCGTTTGTCCGAACTGTATGTTTGCTCTGCCAAACTAACGTTTGTGTCACAATCGTGATGACATGATCACAATCGGACGATTTCACATTGTCTGTGCGTCATTGGGTTATGTGAGCGATCGTGCTCGCACTTCTGTTGAGGGGAGCGAAGCAGTCGATTGAGACGAATCTCAGTGTTGTACCTGACAACGGTCATCTAACGCCTGAGTAGAAGAATTATTTGCCGGCCTACTGCAACCGAATGCGGTATTTTCGGGAGATCTGAAGTCAGGAATGAGTCTCAGCCATTTTCATCGTCCAGAAACCTGGCCGCATAGTGCTATTTCCCACCTTATTTGATTCAGAGGCGTCCTCACAAGTGGGTTTCATTATGGTCCTCTTAGATTTTCTTGCTGATGATTGGCTGGTTGGTTGGTTCGGTTGGTTGGTTGTTTAACGCCGCACTCAGCAATATTCCAGCTATATGACGGCGGTCTGTAAATAATCAAGTCTTGACCAGACAATCCAATGATTGACATCATGAGCATCGATCCCCGCATTGGGATCGATGACATGCATCAACCAAGTCAGTGAGCCTGACCACCCGATCCCTTTAGTCGCCTTTTACGACAAGCATAGTCACCTTTTGCGGCAAGCATGGGTTGCTGAAGACCAATTCTACGCCGGAATCTTCACGGGTTTGCTGATGAAAAGCTCATATCTACTGATGTAAACTTAGAAGGCAGTCAAACCTCTGCAATAACAGTTATGTTCATAGAGAGTAAAGTCAGTGGTAGGGAGATCCCTGCACTTGCTGCATCTGAGTTTCTGTGCATCGACCACAACAGTCACAACATTTATACGTGGGGATCCTGTGCTGAAATGTTGGTCTTGCACTTGTTATCCATGGAAAAACTCTCTACCCTGACTAAAAAAAGTATTCTCTTCAATTAAAAGAACTTCTCCACACAATGGAGATAAGAAAGAATGAGTAAGCTTGGGATGTCATGTGATCAGTTGTGTTGAATCGGGCAGTGCACAGCCCATTGTGAGTGATGGTAGCCATGGCGACGCCTTCAGTGTGTTTGGGTGAGGTGTTATTTTTAAAGCTGAAAACTTATTTTGGGGATCGCTCCATACAAGGATCGAGAAAGAAGGGGCAATGCACAGTGTGAGAAGGGATAAGTTTAAAAATATAACATTTTACATATATCCATAATGGTAGCCATATTTAATCTTGGACTGAAATTCTGTGAGCAATTTTTAAACACCATAGCTGGGATCCTTCATACAAACAAAGACGTATATACAAGTCTTTGATACAAAGTTTCAGCTCCGTGGGTCTTGTAGTTTCAGAAGAGAAAATGTAAAAGTTAACAAGAGATGGACAAATGGACAACCAGAAGACAGCCAAAGCACAATGAAATAAAACTCACTTGATTGTCAGTCATAGAATTATTACTTACAGATTCTTTTGGATCCGACTTTTCATTCCAGTAAAGTTCCCGCTGTAGAGGAACAGTGGTGTACAGGGTTCTCTGGGATGAACACAGCCAGTTCTGAAAACAGCAAGTACACAACATCCTTTTCATAAGAGAAAAATATTGACATGGCACAGTGGCTCACTTGGATATGAAGTCAACAGTTTAACATGTCAACAAAGATGGCCACTTCACAAAACTTACTGACATCATTGACATTCACATAATGTGTTTTTTAGTGAGTGTTTTACACTGCTTTTAGCCATATTGGTTCATTACAGCCACATCATGGCAGGGGACGCCAGAAATGGAGACCACCTGGGGAATTGAACCCGGACCTGAAGTGTGATGAGTGAATACTTTAACTACAAGGCTAGATTAGAAATGTCCTCATCATGAGAGAGGTGAGGTGAGGTGAAATTGGGTTTAACGTCGCGGCCAAGATTATTGCACTTATATAGTGACGTGCATGTAGGTGTGTGTGTGTTTGTTGCTGCTTGTACGCAGTTTAACATGAATACCCTACTCAGACACAGTATACTGACTCCGAGCCGACCAGTCCTTGTTTTAGCCCCTTAATGCCGAGCGCCAGACAAGGTAACAACAAGTACCATCTTTTAACGTCTTTTGGTATGACGCGGTTGGGGATCGAACCCCGGACCTTCCGCTCTCCGGGCAGATGCTCTGCTACTGGACCACGGAGGCGGCTCATCTTGAGAGAACTTAAAGGGAAACAATGCTCCAACTCTTAGCCATGGGCGTTTAATTAGCTTGTGTAATCACTGGATGTCAATTAGCATCAGCTACCCGACAAACTGGACGTCTGACCAGCCAGGGGGATTCCCCTTGAATCCTCACATTGGATTGGATGATGCTTACCATAACCTTTCACCTTGCAAAATCTGTCAGCATGACTCAGATTACCTGACAAAGACTGTGCAAACTAACTCAATAACGTTCACCCCTGCCTCATGGGTGTCAGGGATATATAGCAATCAGTGGTTCCCATTTGGCATTTCTCGTCGTCAGGGGTATTTATTCAATCTAAGATTGGGTTATAAATCCAGGTCTGATGTTGTGAATGTACATATTATGTTATATGTAAGTGGCAGTGCAAAAAGAGAGGAATGATCAGTTGAGTTACAAAAAAACATTGATCAAAAGGTTAGCCGATAATACGTTGTTTGATTCATCACTGTTATCTTGAAGTGGATTTGTCAAAAGTAAGTGTTTAGGCTACAAAAAAATTAGTCTTGGTTCTCAGGCACCACTCACATCATCATAAAGTCTCCTGCACGTTTTGTTTTTATTTCCATTTTAATTTTTTTTATAAAAATCCTAATACTTAAACACAAAGCACAAAAAAAATAGAAAATAGAAACCAAAACGAAACATGCAATGATCTTTATGATGATGTGGGCAGTGCCTGAGAACCAAGACCATTATTTTTTTTAGCCTTATATATATAGGTTTACTAAAGCAGATGGAATACACCACAATCTGGGCGTGAAGGGCCAATGTAAAAACATATTTGATCAAAGGATTAGCTAATACGTTGATAAACCTCGCAACCCGCAGGCAGTCATAGTGTGAGTAATCTAATTACTGTACCACTGTGATATATATGCTCTTGTCAAATCTGACTTCATATATACCGTGGTGTATTATCGTCATGTTGTTCGGTAATCTATGTACACTCTCACATCTTGACATTCCGCTTTACATGCATTCTTAGTATTGAATGAAGACATCGTTGTTATTGGCTGTTTTGTTTGTTTCAGCCATTTACCCTTTACAAGAGTCAAGAACATTAAATACAACAAAGGTTAAGCTTGAGTATATTGTTCAGTGAGGCTCCCGACCTGGGGTTATCTACACAGCCAGATACCCTCCAGGGGTGAGACGGAACAGTTATACATATGTCATTCTTCAATCCTCCAGAGGTGTCGCATCTCACAGCTCAGCGAAACACAAGTCAACCAAGTCAAAATTACAGTCCATAATAAGCAACTTTTGATTCCACAAAGAAAACACTGATCCATATGTCAATACTTTCAAAGATGGAGCACTGTTTCCCTCAAGCTCCTCACAGCGATAGTCTGTTCGCGGAGCTCTCCATACTATCGCTGCCCCCAGTCAAAACTCCCCACTGTGATAAGTGGCCCCAAACCATGCTTGGAGTTGAACTCGCAACCGAATGACCGTTATGTTCACAAACAAGTGACGACTGTCGTGACGTTGAATACACTTACCGCTGTTAAATTACTTTCTTTGTTTGTCAATTTGGATTTCCATTTTATTAAAACTATCATCTTTAATTGATATAGTAAGAATGTAAGGGAGAAGTTGGTTGATTTTCTGTTAGTCCGCAATCTCGAACCAATCTGATTATTAAAACAACAAAGTAAATTCATCTGGAAAACATGGTCTGTCGTAAACCTTTTCAAAATGAACTATGATGACATTCCCAAAGACATAAACAAAAGTATAAGTGGTACTACATTTGGGGTTAGAGGGCAAATTTCAAGATTCTTGTAATGGCCGCACCCACACTGGTGGCATCGATGTTACCAAGAGTGTAACGAAGGTGTCACGCGCTGGGAAGGAGCTTGTGTTTCCCTTTAAGGGCAAGTAAACACAAAGGTCAACCAAGGTAAAAAGTATTAACATTGTCTAAAAAAATGAAATACATGTGTTCATTGGGGCTGGGACGAGTCCAAATTTACTACCCGGGTACCCGGCCCTACACAGGTACCCACTGTAGGTTTCAAGAGTTGGGAACAAAATGTCTGATTGGCAATTGTTTTACCGCAGCCCTGGCAAAAACTATTTAGATACATGTATCAAACAATAAGATCATGCGTTCACTGAAGTTGACTGGAGCTTTACCTTTACTCAAACAAACAAGTCAAGAGGAATGTGTGCATCGTTAGAAAGAAATGCGAACATAAGCGACTTGTAGTGTAACCACTGAGCTATAGTGAGTTTTTGTAATTTAACAATATATCACGTGACTAACCATGGGTCCGCGTAGTCCTGTGGGTACCCAACCCGAGTTACCCGACCCAGCCCCAGTGTACATACTAAACATATTACAAATTTCATTAAATTTCAAGCAAAAATGACTGAGCAATGGCCTAAATGCCTTACAAATATAGTTTTTTTTCCAAAATGGTTGCCATTGTTATTTTGAGATTATAAACTATTCATCCAAGGTCTGGGGCATCACAATACTCCATGGTACAAACATACTTTTAGCATAACACGATTATCATTTATTGTTTATTTCAGGAACGATATAGCTCAGTAATTGAACCTATGAAGGGAAAACAATGAAAGAAGCATACAATTACAAATTATCTTCTCTCCACTTGTTCCAGATTAGCATGGTAAACAGCATGTGTGTTAATTAGTTTAGTCAAAGTATTAAAGATTGGACATGGACAGACATTGTTATACAAGGCAAGTTATGAAATGCTAAGTCATAACATGAAAATGGCTGCAAAAACTGACTTTCTCATGGATGTGTACTGCTACTACAAACAAGATCCTCATGTTAGGATCACACAAGATAGTGGAAAGACATATTTCATTTTCACAATGTTTCAACAAAGATGAAAAGATTTTAAATTATTTTTTTATATATACAGGTCATTTTTGAGGGGGGAGAGGGGATCCATTTTGGGAGCGTGTCAAAGCGGCCTCAAAAGGAAAAGTCTCAAACGGCCACAGCAAAAAGCCAAAACAGCTTCAACCCATAGTCAAACGGCCACACAAAAAGTCATAACATGTAATTATGTAAAAGCCATGTTTACCACATTAATAACATGTTATGGGGGAATTTCCAATGACATGTGTTTAATAGTCGCATTTATCCTTTGATCTTATCATTTATTGAAAGAAACTTAAATTACATGACATGTCACTAATGTACTGTTATTCCGTTTAATGCATTATAAGGCCTTGGTGTGCACTTAATGCTATTCAAGATGTCTAGGGTCATGTCTAAAATAGTAATTTGACACTGCTTGCAATTTATTTATCTACGCCCATCAATCGGTTATAAATTCCTTTACAGTCTTTTGAATATGACGCGATGGACCATTGTTGATGTCACGATGCAAATACCAATGAGCGATTGCATTGATAGCCGAAACAAGGCCCAGTTTCAATGACATTATCAAAAGAGATCGTTGGAAGCAAACATTAGTGTGTTTTGAATAAATAAATGCAGTTCTGTGTAGACTGGTCTTTGCAAGTGGTACGTTCTGTTCAAGAAGGAATACTTTTTACCGGATTGGCATAATTGGCAGCTCGTCTTGACACAAACTGCATCTGTGCAACATAACAGTGTCCCCTTGCCGCAATAGAAGACGCCATTTTGATTCCTCCTGTCACGTGATTTTTCAGACCGATTTCATCAAGAATTTGACGTGAAAATATCACTTGATCTGAGAAATTACCATTTTGTAGGTATATTTAAAGTTTTCGTCGCATCAATTAATTTACTTTTATCATTTGAGGTAATCACGTTTCACCGTGACACATTCATTACCATAATACTGCGTACGGCTTTGGTCGTCTGATGTTTTGTTGGTGGAAAAATACCACCAAATCTCACAGACAGTCTTTATTTTTAACAGATGACCACTTTATTAGCTTCTAAACAACTATTTGGACCGGATTAGATCCGTCTACGAGGTAAGTCTGTTAGTTGGGCGATTGCTGTTTACGAGCGAATGATCCCACTCCCCAGATTCGCCATTTTGACAAAGCTCGTTTCCTGGTAGCCGGTTCTTTCACTTATTTTATCACATAATTTGCGTTGTCACATTCCCTGCACGAGTGTTTAGTCGTACGTGCATCTGTGAGTCGGATATATATGAGACAGAAAAATCGGATGTTGTGCACCGCTCGATTTCTGTTGATATCGTGCATGTCATTTTTTATGCGTCGTCACATGAGCGTCTGAGTAAATTTGCAGCTCAGTCGTCGTCAAAATATGCAGCATCTCCAACAATACAACTTCATATGTAATGGCAAGTTGTACATGTTCCACGAATCGTATATGTAACAGTTATTCTGATGAAAATGACCATTTTGCTAAAAACTGCAATTCTATTTTCAATGAATGACGTGAATGTCAGAAATGTTCTTGGAAAAACCCACATTGCATACGAGAAATGTCATAGTAGGACATATTGACACAAGTCATCAGTTATTTTCTTAACCCAGCGAAATCCTCTTGATGTTATAGATGTACTGTCAGGGCAATTTGTACATCAAATTATGCACAACAGGAATGTGTAAATGCCAGATATTTATTGGTTAATACTTTGATTAAAAAAATCATGTTATGCATATATGTAGATCTAGAGCTGCGGCAAAATCTGAAAAATACTGTAATAATCTTTTGATTAAGTAATTATTATTTTAGCAGATGCAGGGAAAGATAATTTTGTATTTTGTGTGCTGAAAGCATTCTGTCCCTGTCCTCTTTTCAGATACTAACATAAAATGATAGTCATGTTAATGCCACTAGACAACTTGTAGATTAGTGTAATTATTGATGAGCCAATTTTGTTTCATTGTTGGCATGTTTATTGTGTTTATATGATTATTGGACAGACTAAGCCACTAAACCACATTTCGTTATGGTCTTTTAATTTGTCCAAGATGTTCGTGAAGTTTCATTAGCCTCTAAGTTTTTTATATCTGTGATTTAGGAGATAAACTTCAGCATTTGCCCTTTTAAAGTTTTCTTTGCTTCATCATGTGTTCATGTTATCATTATAAGGACTAGTGGGCTAAAACTGTTAGCTTTTTTCGCTGAAATCTGTTGTCAATTTTGAGGTTACAAATGTAGTTGATTATACAATTAAAAACAAATGTAATATATTTTTAGAGCTTTAATGTTCAAATCAGGGTTTTTCATCTCTAAATTTGACTTTTAAGTTCGGAAGTAAACATATACATATTTATGTCATGGCGGAGAATTATAATTGCATGGTCAACCTGATGTTACAAAGTGCCAAGTATCAGGGTCTTGCATTGTTCTTTGTAATATCATCCTTTTTGCCTACAATTTTTGTTGACACACTTGCTCAAAATAGTATGGGAACTGTATTTTTGTATCTCACTACTTTGATTGAGTAAGACTTAAACTAGTTGTGTTTGAGAAGGAAGTACTTTCAGTCAATAATTTTCTTTTGCTGTGATGAATGGTTACCACCAAAAGCATGGGCAGACATATATAAGCTTAGCTACTGATGGCGATCAAATTAAAAGTTTGTCAATTGTCATAATATGATCAATCAGTGCTGATAGATGGCATATTGTATCGATGAAAACTAGTCAAATGCATATCAATGTGCACAGTGTTTCCGTTAGCTTTTATGTCAGCCGGTCAGAGTACCGGCTGACTAAAAATATACCGGTCCTTATCATTTTCGGACGTTCCCCATGTTACTGTGTAAAAACATACCTTTCGATCAGAGTTTTCTCTTTTTTATTTCTGAACTGTAGATTTGCTGCAGGAAGGTGTTTTTTCACCAGAATGCATGTTCAAGATCATTTAATATTCGCTGGCAAAGTCGGTTACAGCTGCGAAAACAGCAAAATCTGGATAAATATCCTCATGATCAGCCATGATAACTCGACAATTATGTTGAAGTGTGTGTGTGTACCAAGTCCCACAACTGTAGTTTTGTAGCTGGCGAAATCACGGTTGGCCCGGTTGCCACCTATGATATATGAGACGTCATTATTTATTGGACCAATCACAGGACTGAAATGGGTAATCAGCTGATTTAGGGAATCCATTCCATAGTTATTCAATTCTTCGCGTTAATCTGGGAGGTGAGATGGGTTCAGGACTTTGTCAAGACAAGTAAGGGTAGACAGACTGTCTTCAGGAAATCTGGCATGTTGTGTACTGAAAAATTTATCGATGAAGCCTGCACGTGAATTTTGAAATGCCTGCACCAAACGTGCATTTGCATATGTAACTTTCACACCACGAAACACGCTGTTTGTGATGTCAGTAAACGATTGCTCATTTTCTCCTGGTGTTTTTAGCAATCTTTGCAATGATTCGCAGGTTGAGTTCAAAATTGGCATTATCATGCCGAGATTCAGATTGTCTTTCTGAAATATTGTGTATTTCATCTGTTTCATTTTTGATGAGCCTATCTATTTAGATAAACATACGTCTTAGACGTATTGTATAAGTAGGGTTTCATTGAGAAAATATCATGAAACATGAAAAACTATTACTATATGCATATTTATTCCTGGTTCACATTGGATCACACTCCGGGTCAGTGGTGACTTAGCATAGCTCCACTGCCACAGGCTAATTTGCATATGACATCACTGGACTTTTCTCTTGTTTGTAAACCAACACGCTTTTTCAGAAATGGAAAGGAAAAGACTAATGCAAGTATTTGGGGGCGCTTTACATATTGTTTTGTGAAATTATATACATACTACAACTCCGACAGTGAGTTGCATGACAATACATATGATATTTACACATTAAAGTGACCACATTGCAATAGCTCTCCGTACGTTTCGATGACAGCACATGGAGCCCAAAAATATTTTGTCATGCACTTTTCGCAATTGTAGTAGCATATCTAGATCTATATTATTTTGAAAAACAATATCTAAAGCTCATCAAAGGCTTGCATTAGGTCAGTCTGTTCTGTTTTCAGAATAAGCGCGTTTGTTAACAAACACACAAAAAGTTCAGTCACGTGATAGTGATATGCAAATTTGCCAATGGCAATGGTGCGGTGCGAAGTCATCACTGTGCATGTGGTTCTGAACTCTTTCGGAAAATATCGATTAAATCTGTTACTTGATTACTATAGCTTTGTTGTGTCTAGATACCAACGATATAAAGATGCAATCTGAATGAAACGAAACGAGTCCAGTCCAGTTTATTTTTAGAAAACTGCGATTTCCTTTCTGTGTGGAAGAGAAACACGGACTTATTTTAGAGTTGAGTGAACACAGTTTTAACACCTTGTTGCAGACAAAGACTCAGTTGAAGTTATTTTTTTCTAACATTCTTTCTACCGGACACTGGGACCGTCACACTAAACATTTACCGGTCTTTGCCATTTTTTACTGGCCAAAAGCCGGCATATACCGGAGAACGGAAATACTGGTACGTCTAGTACGCACAAATGTAGAGAAAGGATGCAGAAAAAAATATACTGTGTCTCTAGGAACGTACGCTTATAATCATTGTAACTACAGCGCAACAAGAGCATTTACTGGTGTGGTGTTATTTCATCCATCAATCATGACTACTGGCACTGCCCACATCATTGTTTCATTCAACATGTTCAAGGATCTAAAGTAATTATACATCCTGTATACTACATCATTTCATTACTTTACAGGACCCCCTCATACCCCTAAAATTAATTATTGTGGGTTCTCTGGACCCCCACTTTTGTACGTCAAGGTAAAACCCTATGTAGTAACACATGACTGAAATACAAAATGATTCAATTTTGAGAACCAGTGCAATGACTACCAATACATCTTGATTGACCATGTCTTGCAAAATAAACCATTTACTTGAGTAGACTGTGTTTTCATTACAAGAAGGCCACACCCAAGTTAATTGTGATGGAAAGTCAATATTCGGCATTTCAGTGTCTGAAAGTAAAATCATCAATCTATCTTAAGGTTGTCTTTTTCACATTGTGCTTGGTTGTAGCAGTCAGAGAAGTTGTTATTACTCACAGCTACAACCGATGCACCACTTTGGATTTTGGTGAGAATTCACTTGGGTTGCTTTCTAGTCTAAGTGGTACTGTATATCGCTGTGTATAAGGCAAGTTTTTCGTACCTAACGTGGTATGTCGTCTTATAAACAGGGTTGAAGAGTCCTGATGTTTTTTTCCCCAACACAAAGACAAAGGCTGAGAGTTTGATTGCATGCTTGTTCAAGGATATCCCCTCTACAACCCATCCTAGAGAACAAAAGGAAGAAAAGCTCATCCAAACTATCATAGTATCGACTCGATCCGTGTCCAGACATCAATGACAGTCTACAACAATCTTTGAATTTACCTTAGTTTCTATTTGACACATCTTTACAATCATCTTTCAATGATCGGCCAATTGATCAGTGATGACAAACAGTTGTAACCGCCACAGGTTCATAAACAACTTCGGAAATCACCCATCACCTCATCATGTTGGCCATTTTGACGTCTTGTACTAAATGCAGAGCTACAGATAAACTGCGTTTATGCGTAAAATACCCCCCTAAACTACCGTATTCGACGTAATAAGCGCCCCGCTCTAATAAGTGCACACGGCGATATTTGCTAATATATTGGCTAGTGAACAATCCCAATTAGCACTCCTTCCGATTGATCAATGTACACAAGACTTACTTATTCGCGTATAATACGTACTTGTGTGTTATATGCATTCTTAATTATGGGCAATTAAATTCTGGAAAAATGTATGTCGCATATAAACATTTCAGTGTGTCAGCATAAACCACGAAATTTATCTTTCAACTCTCTTTTTTCCACCAAAATAATATTCTAAGAAGAGCCCCCTCAGGGCTCAAAAAATTTGTTCAACCCTACTTGTCCTGCAGGGCAAGTACTTTTTATTTTGTACTTGTCCTGCCAAATTTTCACTTGCCCTATTGCTCAATGCTGAACAGA